CCCCAAAACCCCAAAACCCCAAAACCCCAAAACCCCACAGTCTGAATAAATAGTTTAGCAATTAATTATCAAATAATCATCAAAGGAAATCAAGGTTATTATTCCAAATGAGCATTATATTCTATGTAGACATTTTCATAAAGGTCTGGTCTAATTATGAGCTGATGATCACTGAATGACCTCATTTCATCAGCAATTATGAACTGGTGTCCATTTTCAATATGATCCTCGATTATCTACTTTGTGAAATTTACTGCCCTAGGAACAATTAGTTCCTGCTTTTCTCCAGGTTTTCCTAGGAGTCTGTATATATCGTAGTTGTTCATCATATAAAAGTAAATACTTGACTGTATTTGAGGATCTTCTGAATGTATGCTTACTCTCTCAATTGGAATAAACATTTCTAGTTATTTCTAGAGGCCATTCATTGACTCATAACTAAAGGGAAAAAGAAATTTATTTTTGGAATTTTCTAGTATACCCGATAGCTTTGCTCCTTAACCTCTTAGACTTACTCTATTATAAAGATTGTAGCTAGGTTGGCTTTTAAGTTCATATTTCATAAATGCTTATTCCAATTCATTTGCCAATTCTAACTCCTAGTAAAGCTCTAAAACGAATACTATCATCTTAGCTCTATGAAGAGATATCTGAGTGAACTCCTTTTCATCCTTGAAATTTCTGATTAAATCTGATATTTCATTAGTGGTTATCCCCTCAACATTATTAATGAGCTTTTATAATATCATATGGCTATTTCCCTATTTCAAATGATCATTTATCCTAGCGTTTTCAAGAGCATTTTCCAATATCTATTGATCTAAAGGATATATAGAGGAACTAAAGTCTATTAATGATTCTAAATCTTATCGATTAACTTATTAATTTTCCATCAAATCATATAATTCATCCATGTTTAATTGTCTCGTCTGAGTGAATGTAGTGATAACGTCCTAAATACGTTTAGATTTTTTCACCTTGGATCGTGATTTTTCACTAGGCTAATTATTCTCTTTATTAAGACTTCTGTACTTTCTTAGTGTACTTTCGAGAAATATTAATTTTTATGGGTAAACCGTTTTAATCTGCGTGAGATAATAGACTAATTTATCTATTTTTGGATCTGAATTTTTTACAGCTATCATATTTTACTTTTCAAATTTTCTTCGAAAGTACAAGGATAAATCTATCATTAAATCTGAAAATAATCTTTATAGCTCATCATTTTCATCCACTACTGAAAGATATTCTAAGACTGTATCAAGCAATTATTCCTAATCCTCTTCTATATTGTTTTATAGGGCTATCTAAATGTACTTCTGTATGCCAAACTCGCATAAATAGTTCACTGGAGTGACCTTTACCAGTTTAGAGATCAATTCTATCATTTCGTGATAATTGATTTTAAATTTGTCTTAATTTCCCTGTTCTTATGCAATAACTTACAAACTCTTCAGATAATCTAACCTCTAAAAAATAAGATTCATTGCTACATCACCCTTAAATTTCATACTAATACAATGATCAATGAGTTGTTTTTTCAATTATACTAGCTACTTTGGGCTGGTTAGTAACAATGTCTAACCTATATCAGATAGCAACTTCACCTTCTACAAATCATTCATTTTAATTCTATCATAATTATCCACTACTGAAGTCAATAAACTTTCGACATCAAATTCTTCACTTTTTTAAATTAGTCCACTTCCATCTAGCAATTGCTTTATTGAATCGTAATCAGTGGTTAGGACTATTTAAGCAGTACTAGATGATGACCCTAGATCCTGGACCATTGATTAGTATGTAGTTTTAATATTTTTAATCAACTTCTTGAACTCTTCTTGTGGTATTCTCTAGCCATCTTACAGTTTTTCATTTTCATTATAATTCTCGAACACTCTATTTAGATTTTCTTTACGTAGCTTAGATTAAGAAAATTTAATCGGACTATACGAGGATGCCCATATATTAGATGATTTCCTAGCTATCTAAGCTATCTTCAGTTAATTTTTCATATTTATTAAATTAATAATTATTATGTAATTTGATATATTTATTAGCAACCATAAATTATTAAAACCAGTTTAATCATAAAAGACAAAATCCTACTTGTCTTGCAGTCAGGTATCAAAATTGATCCCTTCTTTAAGCATTTTCTTTAGGTAGGCGCCTACAACTGGGTCCTAGACTCCATCCCATGTATCTTTGATTTCTCTTCTCAGTGTCTGCATGATCTTAACCTTCATTTCAGTATCACCAAGGGCTAATTAAGTCAATCCCTTAGTCGCTATCCTCATTCCACCCAAGTTTGATGTATCCTTTATGTAATCCACAAATAATTCTAGTCCCTTATTAAAGGTTATATATGATTTAAGGTATTCTCTATTCGAAAGATTAACTATGATCTACATTGCATAATTTCTGAAAACTTATGGGTTGCTTTTATTCTAACATATTTGGATCATATAGGGAATATGCACATGAAAAGTTACATCTATTCTATCCTATGATTATTTCTTTAACTTTCCATCCAGATCAGCTGGATCTGATATTTCGCAAATAGTTTTTATGCCTGCATTCTTAATTTCTTAATTTGGGAAAAGTGTTAAGTTAATTAGATGAGGAATATCGATGTACTCCTTGGTATAAGTTAGAACTTTATAAATCAAGTCTGTTATCAGCTTCTTCATGTTTGAGTTTTAAAATTTGAAGTTCTTAAGAAGTCTATTTATGCCGTTATTCTCAAGAATATCTGTGGCTCTAGCCTCTAAAACAATTTTAATGGCAATATGTACCTACTTGTTAAACTCTCGACTAGTCTTTCAGCTACTCTGAATTGAGATGAAGATATATCAGTTGGAAAATTATGATATTCAAACAGTAAGAATGCTAGCAAAAATAGATATTTGTCACTCATTATGTCTCTTATTGCCTCTAAAAACATAAAAGGTAAAAATTTACATTATCCCATATTGTCAATAGAATGCAAAGCAAAGACAACGATATCTCTTTAATTAATTTCTGGATTTAGCATTGTGCAGTAATCCTTCAATAAATCTCCGCTGTAAACCATCTAGATTGGAGGCAGCTTTTCAAGTGAGGGATATTAATCTTTGAAGAATGTGACTTTGTAAGGGTTAATCAGATAAGAGCCAGTTCTATCCATTTCTAGGTTTTAATTCTTATATGATTGTCCTCCATACTTATTCTTATCATACTTCTCTTATTAATCAAAATAGCAAGGTTCATGCATCTGATGTGGATGGCTATGAACTGATTAAAATTGCATTGCCCCAGAATGTTAAAGCTGATTAGTTCTCACACCAGAGAGCAATTTTGAAGATTGAGAGCCTTTAAGCAGTCTAGTTTGTTAGGGATTCTCAGATGAATACAACTTCCTGAAATCAGGATCAACTTCTTCAAATCTTAGCTATTTTTTGGGATCTCTAAATTTCTTTGATCTTGAGTTTGCTGCATTTGGAGTCTATGCATAGATAGGTCTGATACCTCTTTCTAGTTATTTATGATGCAGAGGATGCTTATACAAATTAGACTTAGAAATTATTGTACCATCCGGTTCGCATATATCATCCACAGCTCGCCAGCTATAAAAATGAGCCTGAATAATAAATGCTTAGAAAATATATTTACCTTATTATACTCAGGCACTGTTTTTATATCTATAGTTGATGAAATAGTTGAAACAACTCTAAATATTTGATTCCTCTCAGAGGGAGCAAGTTATGGGTCTTATGCCATTTTTTACATTTTCTCCATTGCTTCTCTTTGCTGCTTGAAAGTGGAAGTAAATGTCCAAGATCTGCTGAGAATGTCCAGGATTTACATCGTATTAATGAGAATAAGCTAGTCTTTATCAATCATATCAGTGACCCAGTATTAGAGTACAAGGACTAAGTGATTAAGAGTATTTTTGTTTTCTTCCTTATCAAATTCTATTGCAAGTGCCCCAGTGATTATCTTATTCAATGTTAATGCTAAATTTTGCACTACTCTTGAGTCTTGACTCATGCCCATGCTCAATGTATTCTTAATTAATTCTAATTTATCATCATATCTCTAAATAGAAGCATCTGTTAACTTTGAAGCAAGTTGCCTTTATTAATCTTATAGCTGGTTTAGTAGATCAGTAGCAGGTGTCTTAAATTCACATGAGCAAAATTAATCACAAGTATGATGATATAGTTTTTCTTTTTCTGGGTAAGCAATTAGACTCTCACCTAGAATTATAAATATTCAATAATTTGTGTTACCGTTCTTTAGCACTTCTCCTACTTTAGAAGAATTAGGTAGTACATATCCTGATGTGAGACACAGATTTTTAATGTAGTAAACAGGGTCTTTAGGAAATTCGTTTCTGAATTCCTTCTCAACTTATCTCTTCAACTGCACAATGTTGAAAAGTGCTAATATTAGTTAAATCAATAAAAGTACTTACTAGATGCCGAAAGCACCAGTCTTTTGTAGTCACTTTTATCTTCATGTTTAATTTGCACATACAACTTATACTGATTATCATCTTTGTAAAGCATCGAATCATCCTGCGACTCCGACCTCCTGGTTCTTTGCAAAACTTAATAACTTTAGGAATTTTTCATTTATTGAATTATTATTAATTCGCAAAAGTAAATTAAACTTTGAAACTTCATAGGAGAAAATTAAATTAACTTCATTTATTCACTTGAACCACAAACAATATTTCTTAGCCATTATTTTATTTCACTGTTATTCTTCTTCTGGCAGATCCTTTGATGCGTTACAGAAGAGGCAAAGCAGATCCGAATCAGGCAAATTCTTATCTATTGCCTCCTTAATTTCATAAAGAGGAATCTCTTCATCAAACTGTTTTCCCACTGCTCTGAATATTACACTGGTGAAAAATTCTGATAATGCTCTCATATATTGGTCTTCCTGGACATTTGGACTGAATTTCTCAAAAGAATTGGAGCAGATCTCAAACACCTCCTCATATGACAAAGTACCATTTCCATCTTAATCAATAATCTTGAAGAATAAATCAATCTTAGAGTCAATATTTCTAGCTTGAATTGCCTTAACTGCTAGCAGGAAGTGCTCCCAGTCCAGATATTCATTAGAATTGTTAGAGTTACACTAGTCAAAGACCCTCTTTGCGAACTTTTCTGTTTCGAACTTTAACTCAGGGATTCCCAGCAGGAACTTCTCAAAGCTGACTCCCTTTACCTAACTTAAATCTTGGTTTTTATCTTTTAGCTCTTTCATAGTTAGCTCACAAAGAGCCTTGAATTTGGAGAATATTTGAATGATCTCCACTCTGTTGAATCCACTCTTTTACTCCAGTATTGGGATGTTCTTATCAAAACTTGCTCCGAACTAGTGAAAGACGTTACGATTCAAACCTGTATTATTTATAATGTTCTTCTCAACAAAATTTATAGGCTGTCTGCCAATGCTTTAGGGACTCATAGCTCCATTGGCAAAGCTTTACTTGCTGATAATAGAGTTTAAATGGGTATCAGTATTGTTCATGAAGCTAGTATTGCTTTTAAAGGTATTGGACTTGCGGATGTTTGAATCCCATTTAGAGATGATGTGCCTTCTGTTCTAAGGGAGAGAAGGTAGTTGCTATTGAGATCTTGTATTGCTATCTTTTTTAAGCTTGACAGTTTTATTCTATTTCCTTTCTTTAAGATACCTTTAGAGTATTATAATCAAATCCTATAACTTCCTATTCTTCTAGAATTTCTTTTACCCAGATATAGTATTTCTAAAGTGCTCTACATTTTTTACCTCCTGTTCCTTCATCAGCTTTTCTCTCATATCATTTTCTGTTCTTTCCTGGATTTCTTTGATTGAATCCTCTACCTATTTCTCACTTACCACATTCAATTTATAGTCTAATTCATATTTCAAAGCCTTAATTTGCTAGTTAAATGCTTTTGCCTCGTTTCTTAAGTCTGCAAGAGGAGAGTTGTACATAAGTTTGGCATCTACTATAGATAGTCCACCGTCATCTATCAAGTGATTAAGCCCATCACTTAAGATTTGCTGAGCATCATCTTGAATTGATCCTTCAAGATGATTATTTTTCTGTATAATTTCATTTATTGCTTCCTTATTGAGTTTATTTTATTTCAATATCATTCTATCCCACTCTTTCATTTCATTGTTTAGCTATGTCTCTCTTTAAATCTCCTTCAAACTTTTATAACTTTTTGAATTAACCAATCTTACATCTGCCACTACCTTCCTCTTATTTGGTGATTCTGAAGAGATGCTTCTATTTGTATCTAATTGTGAATGATTTTTGAATCTATTCTCATTTATAAGTTCTTTAGCTTATCTTTAAATGACTTCTTTGGTTACTTTGACAGTAGGTCTGATATCCATAGACAATTATTTACTTTTATGCTTGGTAAGCGTTTTAATCTATTCTGATTAAATAAGATTCTCCATGGTTTTAATTAAAACTTTAGTTTTAAACTTCTCTTCAAATACTCCATGCTAGTATGAGCAGATTTAGGATATATAAATGAATACCTAATCTGACTATATCTACTCATATCTTTCAATGAGATTCCCATCATTGCTAAATAAATGACGATACAAGAAAAGCTTATCAGATTTATTGAAATACTCATTTACTCCCTTAAGAAAATCATCCATCAAGTAGGTCTGATTGTTTTCTATGATAGAGTTTTTAAAACCTTTAAGTTAGAACAGCCCGATTTTCAAGAATGACTGTACTGGTATTTTTGCTTCCATTACAATTACAAATATTTGCATGGTCTATCCCAAATACCTCTTGATCTTCTCAAATCTTTCATTGTATTTGTCCACACTTCTCTCCTAACTATTTTCCTCATTTTATTGCTGGATTTGCATGTTAGGGATGTTCTTTACTGAACTAACTTTTTTAAATATGGTTTGGAATTTCTCTTTTGGTATTTAACTGCTGTTGTTTGTTGATAAAAAGAACATTTAATCGTGCTATTGGTCCTTGTTCTAATCGTATTTTATTTTCTTATATCCTTCGAAAACAAGTCTTAAATCTGTAGTCCTCTTTTTTATTTCGAGAAGTCGATGTTGAATAGTGTTGTTGTTGTTGTTTTGATTAGATATCTCATTTTTACTCACTACTGAATTTTTATAATACTGTGATGACGAGAGATTAATTGGAGAATACAAATTAGGGAGATGCTTGAAATTCTATGTTTTTATCATGCTTTCTTCTACATTAGAATTCTTGTTACTTTTTGGAACTTTTGAATGCAAATTGTCTCCACTAACCTTTCTGCTAATATGATCTTTTGATTCCATATCTTTGATAATTTTATGCTGTTAGAGCACTTTTTTCTGAAGTGTAAGATCTCCATAACTGGTTTTTCTTTCAATAGCTGAACTGAATGTTGAAGATTTATTTTGATTGACCTGTGAGTTGCTGTTTTCCTAGCGACTTACTCGATTGATCTAAGGCAAATTTATCTCACTGTTAGTTTGGTCATCCTAGTTTTTAGGTGAAAATGCAGGCTAAAATTGGTTGAAGCTCTTTTTAGTTATTTTGGTAATCAGTTATCTTTACGAGGTCCCAAATACCAAAGATGGATTAGATTCATTAGAGGGGTTCAAAGTCTAGGAATCCATTTCTCGCTTAGATATATCAGTATCATTTTTCCCAGGACTTTCATACTGTGTTGAATCGTTTGTCTGTCTCAATGACACAACAATCGTATTTTCTTGGTTATCCTTGTAAGCATGTCTGAATTAATATTCCAGATGGTTTCCATCTCTGTGTTTTCTAAAGTTTCCAATCATTTTTATTTCTAAGTATATTGATAAATCCCTAAAATCTTCTAAAACCTTATCACAATTAATTCAGCCTCTTGGGGTTTTGGGGTTTTGGGGTTTTGGGG